GTTGTTGTTGTCGTTGTTGTTGTTGTCGTTGTCGTTGTCGTTGTTGTTGTTGTTGTTGTTGTTGTTGTTGTTGTTGTTGTTGTTGTTGTTGTTGTTGTTGTTGTTATTGTTGTTGTTGTTGTTGTCGTTGTTGTTGTTGTTGTTGTTGTTGTGGTTGTTGTTGTTGTTGCTGTTGTTGTTGTCATTGTCGTTGTTGGCGTTGTTGTTGTTGTTGTTGTTATAGTAGTAACCGTAGGAATAGTAGTAGCAGTGGTTATGGTAGTTGTCGTAGGAGAAAGAGTCGTTAAAACTGAACTTGTTGAAATCATTAATGATTCCATCTTAGACACTACTTGAGTGATAGGCTGAGTTGTATCAGCATTGGTAGTGGCAAAAATATTTGCTTCTTCATTAATTGACGTCAAATTCTCCCACCGTTGTTTCCAATAATCTAAAACAAGAACAGAAATGACTTCAAACAATGAGTCATTCATTAAACAATTTCTTTTCGTTTGTTTAAAAAATTTTTCTTGACTGTCTTAATTGTGAAAGCAAAGTAGCCGACATAGCAGCTTAACTATTTATAAACAGGTGATATTTCGTTTGAGTTATTATATCTTTAAAGTTTAACCTATTGAATACGGTTGCAAAGAGTCAATTTCAACATACCTATCTGGTCAGGACATACTAGACATGGACAAATAGGATCATTATTTTCAATCATTTCGGATTCTTTACAATTGCTTGACTCAGCAATGACATCACAACGACTATCGCATACGAAAGCTTGATCACTTTCGCATCTACATAAATCACAAACATTAGTGGGAGACATATATTCTTTGTTGCTAACAGGAATAACTAAATATTTAATAATAAATTAATTTTTATTTTAATATGAATAAAATTCGATCACATACTTCGACCATCATCTGATACACATCCAACTTCAGCTAGTCGTAATTGAACTAGTAAGAAACAAAAATAGAATCCAAATTAATTATATAAACAATTTTCGAACAAACTTACAACCATGTATTTGTCCTCTTATAATAGAAGAACAATACAGTAATAAAAAATGATATTGAAAGTGAAACATTTCAATTTTCAAATATATTTACAATGAGTATTCAGAATTAGATTTATCATGAATCTAAAATAACATGGAGTTATTTTAAAAAGTAATAAATAGACATTGAATTTGAAGATATATATAATATATCAACCTAATTAAATAAATATATTATTTCAACGTGTATTCAGCTATGAACAATATTATTTAGTTAATTTTTCTAAAAAAAAGTTTTTTTTTTACGAACAACAAGTATATCTTCAAGAGAAACGATTCAATTATCCAAGTAGACTGATGATTTTATCGTTTATCAATCATGATAAGTAAATGATTATTATAGTAATAATGATTGATACAAATGATTAAAGTTCTTGAGGTTATTCCGTCAAACATTTTTACTTATGTTAAAAATAGATAATATCTTCTCTGGATAAATAAAAAGCAACAAGCTTTTGGTTTATTTGCATTAATTCTATTATCTGACTTACGTAACCTGATATTCCTGATTATCGACGTTGGAAAAATTCTTTAACAAAATACTACAAACAAATCTTTTCTCTTAAAATAAACGAAACCCGACACATTATTCCAATATATATGTATGTATATATCCATGAAAACTCAACTTGAGTATCCCATACAATAATAATAATAATAATCTTCAATTACATTACTAGACAACTTCTCCATCATATTCTATGAAATATGTCTTTCAATCATATCTTTCACCAGAATACATGACGTAAAACAGACAATAATTTATTTATCCTACAATGTGTCGACAATGACAATTGTTCTACGTCTTTCTTTTTGTGTATATTATTGCTCTTTTATCGTTCTTACACGTCTTTTTTTCTTTACTATAGCGCCATATCAAGTTATCTAACAGATTGATATATGGATTGACTGTCATTAGATGTATCTGCACCTAAGACAAAAGAAACAATGACACTCAATATTTTCCTATACAAAATTATTTTGTCAACTAAAATTCTTATAATATTGAACTTCATACTATTTGCTCGTTACCAATTACAAGTAAAAGGTGTTACAGAACCACAAAAAATCACATAGTTTATAGCAATCATTTAAAATTTGCATTGACTTTGATCGAAATGAGACTACAAACGACAGTCATTTTCTAAACGTCCATTCAATTTCATGATTTGAAGCTTTAT